TTAATAGACTTATATAAATTAATTAAATAGAAGTACAGTGTTTTAAAAACTACACACAGTAGGATTAATTAATTAAGAAGGAAAGATCCATTTTGCTATGCATTTCTGTATTTTAGGGCATAACGAAAGAATTTTTTAGTGAAGTTTGTGGGGATAAGTTTTCCTACTGACCAGTGTAATAAAGATATTATAACAGCTGCAAGGTATTGGTTACACTGCTGGAATTCATTCTGGTGTACACAGAATTTTTTTTATGCATGCCTTTTGGAAAAAAAACAATTTGATAGCAGGTGTGACCTTTAACCTTCCCAGACTTGAAGGACTTAATCATCCTCATTTGTTCAGCACTGAATATACTTTGTGCAGAGAGGAAACAGAAGGGAAATGTGCGTTTGAGGGGTTTTGTTTTCACAAAGATATTAAAGTTGGGATTTTTTTTGTTGGTTTTTTGTTTTTTTCCCCGTATAAAAGAAAATGAGATTTTTGCCTAGGAACAACATTTTGTACAAAGACTCCTCATTATAGACTTTTAATGGAAATGTTCAGTGAGCCCTAATTATGAGACAGATGCAAAATGAACACAGTTCCCTTTCCAGCCTTGTCTGACTGAACAGGCAGCAGCTGCTGTTGCAGTTCTGCTGGGAAGGTGTCACAGCATACTTCAGCAATACATTATTCCAACCAGACCACCTTCTGGGGTTATTTTAGGGACAGGGGTAGAGTTGTGGCCATGGTACCCAGATGAACCAGTTAAGGGTTGAAGAGGGGGGTAGCTGCCATGGAAACTACTGCAGCAGCTCTGCAGCCTGAAGTGAGTGGAGTGGTTGGGGAAAGGGGAGTGTTCTAGTCTCTGGAGCACCTCAGTGGAAAGCCAGTTTTGTGGAGAGGAGAGTATTTGTCTCTATAGAGCAGCCACTTACTTAATCTTTCGTTTTTATCGTTTAATTATCTACTGATTAAAGTGAAGGCTATTGGAATTGATGCGAGTCAGGCATGTGCTTGGCAAACTTCTCTACATAACCCTGCCAACTCATCACAAATCTGCTTGCAACAGCCCATACCGTTCCAGTACCAGACCGATCTCTCTGGGTTATATGCTGCCACATGTGCCAAATAATGCAGTGGTTCAGTTATTTGTAGTAATGTCCACATTAGAGAATGAAATTCATTTTCACAGGTGACAGAACGTGCATTGGAATGCAAATCTTTTATTTCTAAAGGCTAGAAAGTGGTTGGTCATTGGGTCAATGTACTAAAGATAAGAGTGTAGATATCCATCTCTCTCTTGCACTTCAACCTGAGTGTACAGTCAGATTTCAAAAATCTTTCCTTCGTTTTCTTCCCTTAGCCCTCTACTCAAAAGAGTTGATCATGCCACCAGAGCTTTGACCTTTTTTATTACATGAATGAAGGTAGAGGTTCATAATTTGTATAGTTACATGGAATGATACCTTAAATTGAGAGTGGCTGTCATTCTGAAAAATTCTTGAGCATTTAATTATAGCTTTCTAGCTAATTTGTCCTTTGTTTATTCTTGTTCATAAGCCTTTTGGCTTTGAGGTAATCCAAAAGCTTGTTGGTTTATGTGAACATTTCTTTTCATACATGGTCTTATTGCTACTCAAATCTGATTCAAATAATTTTGGGTAGAAACCTCTCCATGTATTGGTGATACCTTGAGAGTGGTCTACAGAACTTTATCCTTACCACATTCAGAACACTCAGCCACACTGACTTCTAAAAACCAGCTATCTGCTAATTGGGCTGAAAGAGGAAGGATGGTCTTGTACTGGGAATGAGTAGATCTGGGATCTGTTCCTAACTCTGCAACAGAATTCCTGTGTGATCTTGGGCAAGTCACTTAGGCATAACATTTTGAGAGAGTCCACTAGTTTTGGATGCTACAAATTTTGGCTTTCTAATTTGATGTTTTTTCAGATGTAACTGCATTGACCTCATCTGAAGTTGAGACTTTTCAGCATCTCTGTTTTAAGTTTCTCATACTGGACACCCAAAGTTAGTGGACATATGGTAATTTTGACCTTAATCTCTCTGTTTGAGTTTCTGATCTGTAAATAGGGAATTATAACCCTTCCCTATGGATGTTGTGAGGATAAGTGCAGGTTTACTGTTTGTGTGATGCTTACTTGCTACGATGATGAACACGACAGAGAAACCTATACATAAAATTGATGTTCTAAGTAGGTCTGTAATGTAGGTGGAAAAATGATACCCTATCTTAACTTCTTCCATGGAGATTTTTTTTTTCTTTTAACATTTATATAGAGATTTATAAGCGTATCGTGCTTTTCAGAGACAATAAAGGCCCACTGATTGCCTGACAGAGTTTACCATATAGGCTGGGAGTTTTGAATCTAGATCAAGGTTGTTACATCAAGGCTTAAAATTTTTTTGCAGGCACCTATTTGCCAGAGAACTTAATCTACTTTCCAGAGTCCATTGTGAAAGATGGGAAGGCCCCACTGTCCAGAGGTAGAACCATGGTGAGAAGTCCAGTCCCTTTACTCCTAGAAATGGGGAAGGGTGATGAGATTCCTACTAGATCCTGCTTAGGGATTCCTAGATCCCACTTAAGAGATTCCATCTTTCATATTACCCTCCAGCTAAAAGGAAGGTTTCAAATGTGCCAGTTACCAGCCCCCTTTGGCTGTTGGAGGGAAGGAGCATTCTCTCTCTTCTCCTTCCCATCCCAAAGCCTCCTATCTTCTGCATAGGTAAGGGGCTCCACAATGCCTCCTCAGCTTCCTGGCTGTTGCAGCTGGGCACTGGGCATTCTGCCATTCTACCACTTCCCTCCAGCTTCCTGGCTGCTAACACAGAGCAATGTTTGCTAATCTATATTCCCCCCATTTATATCCCAGTTAATAGCTCTGAAGTCTGTTTCCACTGCTGCTCATAGCTTTCTCAAGCAGTAGTACAATTGATGGGATGTCAGTTTGATGGTTGCCCACAGTTTTCAGAATTGCAGCAGTAAAAACTAACTACTATCAAGTCTGTTTTCACTCTGTTAAATCATAGGAGAACTCTGAGGAGCAGGACCAGCAGCAGCAGAGCGGGGTATTACAGTCCTCTCTCTCTCTCTCCAAACCCAGGAAGACAGCACTGCATTGTTAACTTTCCAAATGTGAAATGCATTTAATCTTCGCAACAGCAAGGGATAGAAACTCTTTGTTTAATTAAGTCAAAGGAAAACTAAAATTCTGCAGAAGTTGGCATAGGTTCTTCTATGCGTCAGGAAAAGCTGCTTACCCTCCAGTGGCAGATGGATTTTTCAAGTTTCCCAGTTTGTTCAGCACTAAATGCAATGGGACTTTCCATTTTCCCTATAAATTCTGGGAATTACGAGCACCTGCTCCATCAATAGTGATGAGTTCCATGATTATTTACAAATATGTGTTCAACTTCTTGAAGTCGTCAGTTTGGGCTTAATCAAAATATCAGTTTCTATAGCATAACAGTAGGAAAATAAATGCTTTATTTAATATTCTAAAAGCTGAGGACAACCTACAGTAAAACATATCTGTCTACAAGGTTTAGTTTTGTTTTTGTTTTTTAAGGACTTATGCCTTTTATTCCTATTTTGGTTATAAAATGAAAATGTTTGTTTTCTTGTGATTCCTTTGTATTTCTAAAGTACAGTTACATTCAAAATGCTATGTCATTTTAATTTATCTTTATCTTTATATTTATTTTTATCAGGAATTAAGTAGTTAAGAGTTGTAGTTATTCTCTGTTTCATTTGACACAGACCACAAGCACTTAGCCATGATGCTTAAAAGATGGATTAGAAACTAGGTTTAGTTTGTCTAGCTTTATCTGTTCTTTCATCTTCACAGCTGATGTAAGGAGTGTGTCATTGATGATGCCCAGTAATAGGTATGCTAACGTGTAGCTTATTTTATGCTTTGAAGTAGAGTATTGCTTGAAAAACATATTTTTGATTATTCCTTTCTTATCACAGCTGTGCTGGTCAGCATATGTGTGAAGTGGTATGTTAAGTTATTCTACATAAGATTGTGCTTTCTGCTTTGTCCAAATGAGTCCTAACCTTTTAGGGGCAGTCCTAACTTTTTATACACGGGTGGTTTTTGTTTCTTTGTTTTTGTCACCATAACTATATTGGTTTAGTAAGATATGTAGTTAAAGCAGTACAACACCCTAGTGTGGACACAGCTATACCTGTACAAAGATGCTTATAATGGTACAGTTAATTCCCCAGAGCCAGGATTTCACTCAGTATCTTTTGCAGGGACAATGTATCTTATTTTTAGACAAATTGATTTTTTTTAGTTGCTTCTGGAACAATCTCAGAAGCCCTCATAAATTTTGAGCCATTAATGCAGTGGTGTGGGAATTAGCAAATCTGTACTCTTTTAGAGAACTGAGAATTTAGTACTATAAAGTGACTTTTTTTTTGTGAAAAATGGTCTCTTAGTTAGTGTCTTCTATCTACGGAATATAGAAACAGTATTAAAGATGACTATTGAAAGTAAACCAAGTTCATGCTTTACCTGAAACTGTGGTTTTAGTTGCATCTTCGGAACATCTGTTTGTCATATCCATAGATATTGAATCTTTAAGTGGATTTATGGTTTTCCCCCAGAGACTGCTTTTTGGTCATCTTAATTACAATTTTTTAAAATATGAAGTGTATACTGAAGATTATTACTCCATGAACTAAGATCCATTTGAAGAAGAGCAAGTATTAGCAACCAATACATTTGTGCCTGTTCTCTCTTGCTATTCAGAATAACTTTGGTAGAGCTAGATTTCTAGTAAAGAAGCAACAACAACATTAGCAGTTGAAACAGGTTTTATTTGGGTACCTTTTTGGGTTCCAGTTTTCTGGATAATGCCAGGATAGAATATGCCAATTTAAAATATTTTCTTCCCTGGAACTGCACAGGAAAAAAATATTAGTGCATAAGTATTAGTGCATTTTGTTTATGTTCGATAATTCTTTTTTTTTTTTCAGACCAGCCAAACCATTCAAATTACCAAAAAGGTAAGGTACCGTATAAGCACTTACAAATCTTGTGCATGTTCTTTCATGTGTTAAGAAAACTGTCTCATACACAGGTGTTAGTGTATTGTAAAATTAGCTGTTGTGCATATGACTAGGTTTCCTTCTAAAAGCAGATGGAAAGAATAATACTAATTTTGGACAAATATCCCGTGTTGTCTTCTGATTCTTTTTTAATTTTATTTTCTTTACAAATTTTGTGTGTGTGTGTGTGCGCGCGCACAGCTGACCACAGTCCTGCTCCTGAGTGTACCACCAGAAACTCTCTGGTCCAACACCAATAATTATAAAACAGCTTGATTTTAAAAGCTCAGGAGAGGGCATTGCAATAAACTTTGCTACCCTTAAACAAAAATTCAGCATGCTTACAGGGTCTGTACGTTTAATGGAAGAAAGTAGAATGGCCTACCCAAAATTGTGCATGCACCTGAAATATTAGATACCATTTCAAATGAACACATGTTAAAGGAATAATCCACGTGCAGGAATTGCCCTCAGTAAATAATAGATCTGTTCAGTGAATATACTGCATATAAATCCAATCAAATACATTTCCCCATTTTGAAAAGTTGTATATATCTTTTTGTGTACAACCAGATTGTGATGAACCAGGTTTTCCTTCTTATACACAGAGATACAGATTCACAAAGGAGAACTCCTAAGCATTATTTTATTGCTTAGTATGCAAGCATGATTTCCCAACTCATTAGAAGTGCAGCGAGGCAAGTAAAGAATCACAAATATATGGATTGGGTAGATTAGGAAAATGTAGCACCATACCACAAAGCAGTGTAGGAAATGTTAACGTACTACATACTAGACTGAATGCAGCAGATGTTTTGGCATAAAATAAATTTCACACAGCTATGAATTTTGTGGCTAGTGGGAACTTCCACTTGATTCGGACTACTGAATGGCCGAAGAAATGACTTGCTTACCAGTCTGGCCCAGTCCCCTGACTCTTCTCAGCCAGTTGCACCAATGTGTTGGTGGGTTTAGTCAGCTGGTATAAGGCAGGAAACTGAGGCCTTGATTCAGGAAAGCTCTTAAACACATATTTAACTTAAAGCGTGCCGTTTTTAAATTTGAGTTCTTTCTTGAATAGGGGTGGATTTAAGCAGATGCTTAATTGCTTTTCTGAATTGGGGGCAGAGGTCTGAGGCCAGTCACTTTCATCTTCAGGTCAATGCACCCACATTTTTTAAATTCAGGTCAAATCCACAGCTTGCCTTTTAGGGGAAGAACTACAATTTAATTTTAAAACTCCCACCTCCCACACAATGGCTACGAAATAAGTAGAAGTGGAGAGACCAGCTTTTCCTTTTGAATAACAACTTAGGATCTCAGTTGTTTGTGGACAAATCACTTGAAGAGATTTCTTGCTTTACACCAGTGTCATTAGTGGTGCCAAATGAAGCTCAGACAGACAAAATCTGAAAATTTGAAGTTGAGAAAAGAGAATTAATTACTGTATCTCAAAAATGTGCGCTGGCTGGAAAAGGAAAGATATTTCCAGATTTGTCAGAGGCTACTTAAAATTATTGTGAATCTACTTGATACACATACTCATGCAATTTTTTTTTTTTTTTTTGCATTTTCAGTGAGCTGTGAAATTGTTTGCATGCTCAAGGTACTAAAAAGCACATAGGCTAATTAACAAAGTGCAACAGAGTGTTGAAAACCAACAAGGATTGCAAATTATGTAGAAACAAATGTTGTTGTCACATAGTTCAAATGGATGCTTTTGCTATTCTGGCTGCAGTGATCATTGCTGATACAAATATCCAGTGTATGACTGTGATGGGACCGACACTGGAGCAATGCTGGGCTAGGGAGGCCCCGCCCCTTAACAAGTTGAACTTGCATAGCATGTTCTCAGTCCAGGAGCAGTTTTAAAAGGACATTACTGCTAGGAGAAGGGAGAAACAAGTGCATGTGACACCAGGAAGCCAGGCTGATGCTGAAAGCTGTGTCAAGAGTAGCAACAGCTCTGTGAAGGCTGCTGTAGCACCAGGGACTAGGGCCTGGTCTACACTAACCCCCCAAGTCGAAGTAAGGTACGCAACTTCAGCTACGTGAATAACGTAGCTGAAGTCGACATACCTTACTTCGAACTTACCGCGGTTCAGACGCGGTCCACACGCGGCAGGCAGGCTCCCTGTCGACTCCGCGGTACTCCTCTCGTTGAGCTGGAGTACCGCAGTCGACGGCGAGCACTTCCTGGTTCAATTTATCGCGTCCAGACCAGACGCAATAAATCGAGCCCGGAAGTTCGATTTCCAGCCGCCGAACTAGCGGCTAAGTATAGACCAGCCCTTGGATGTACCCCTTTCTTTGGGAGTTGAAAGCTCTAAGAGAGATTAACTAACTGAACAGGACACTAAGAGACTGAGGAAAGTCTGCCTAGCCTATGATCGTGCCCCAAACTAAGGAACTCCAGATGTTAGGAAGTGACCTCAGAGAACACATAATTTGGGGTAGTTCAGTAACTGGGCTGGATATTTGGATAACTTCTAGGGCCCTGGTTCGGGACCCGGTGAAGTAGGTGGGTCCGGGTCCCCTACTTAGCACCCTTTCTCCTGCTCCTCTGTATTGACTGGACTCTGGGGGACCAATCAGAGCACAAGGGGGTGATTGAGACCACAACTGAGGCCCCCTCTGGGATGACTAGGCCAGCAGAAACCATAAGGCCAAGAGCTATCCACTAGGCTTGCTGGTCATCAGATCTTCCCACTACAGTGACACAAAAAAATAGGACAATTTACAAGAGTAAAGACCTGGTAATGTTTCCTATATAAGGTTTATTAAAGTCTTTAAACAGGTCATGTAGGCCACAACTTTCTTTAGTGTTAGTTATTGATTGAAGAGTTCTGCTCAACTGAGATGAGAGCAAGCTGCTCAGCAGAGAATGGAATCACACACACAACAGGGTAAAGGAATCATTCTTGCAGTAGCAACACACTGGTGAAAAATAACTTTCAAGTCTTCAGAGCTCTCGACAAACATTTAACTAGTCAATGTAGAAGCTGGTGTATATAGAAATATTGAATCCTGTAAATAGAAAAATGTTATTAAGTCATCTACTCCCTCTCCCTTAAACTTTGTGCAGTTGGACACTTGGGCAAATTGTCCATTTATGTTTATTTAATAATAAATTGCACTTCAAACAGATTTAGAAACTTTCACTAATTAAGCTTGAGAATCCCTGTGTGAGATTGGTAAAAATTATTCCACATTTATCTATGGAGAAACTGAAGCAAAGCCACACTAGCACTTGAATCTTCCCAAGTCTGTGCTGAACCCTGTAGAACATACCCCTTTCTCATTGCTGAAGTGAAGATTTTTCAGGTTGAGGCACACTGCAGAGGACTCCCAGGGCAGTCAGTAACAGCATTGTTGGTTTTATTATAGAGAAATGGTAAACTGCTGCCAGAGTGGCTGTCCTGTTGCCTTGGGATAAAAAGGGAAATTAGATCTTGTTTTAGCAATAGGACAGAAAATCTCTGGACAGAGGGTAACTGGGTCCAGGTAAGAACATACAGATGATGTGCTGATCTGATTTTTCAAAAGAACAACAGTCTCTCGGGGTAGTGAAAGTAGGTGTAGAGAGAGCTGTAATATAAACTAACCTTTATTTTAGTCTGCATGGAGATTGAGGAGGAAGTAGAAGATAAATTGTCCTGATTTAATATTTACATGTGTACAACTACTATCAATATGCTATGATTCATACTCAGATGTTTTTTCAAAATGCATCACAAACCTCACCGGACTTTGTCCCCTCTGTTCTGAAGATTAGACAGCATAACCTTTCTGTAAAGCTGTCCTTGGAACTCCAGGACCTTGATTTCAAGTGACTGATGTAAGACTAATTATAGTGAACTTCGTACTTCTGGGTTTCATTTTCTTGCTTTTTTTTATTGCACACTTTTTGTCAATGTAACAACAACCTCTTATTGAGATAAATATTTAATTATGTATGTGAAAGCTTCTTTGCTCCAAGAATTTATTAGCAAGATATGATATATACTGAAATCTGAGTATGTGTGTGGGTATTGCAGTTTATTTTCATCCTTGAACTTGCAGCAAATTCTGTGGACTATCATAATAGGCTCGGAATAACTTTTTTTAAATTGTAGATTTAAGTTACAAAGCAAATGGTTCTTCTGGCTTATGCAAATCACTTATTTTCTTGTGTAGTACGGATCAGGGAAAACATTCTGACCAAACCAGAACATAAAGTTGAGGAAATAGTATAAAAATCAATAATGCATACTTGGTCTTATGATGCAGTTTGACTTAAAATGATGTTAATTGTGCTTTATCCATAGTTGCCAGAATAGATTGAGTAAAAGTAGCAATTATCATTACCTGACCTGTGAACCAAAGAAATCTATTTTTGAATAAGTCAGAAATAATCATCTTAGGCCAGGTCTACACTACCGCGGTAGGTCGACGGCTGGCAATCGAACTTCCGGGTTCGATTTATCGCGTCTGGTCTGGACGCGATAAATCGATCCCGGAAGTGCTCGCCGTCGACTGCGGTACTCCAGCTCAGCGAGAGGAGTACCGCGGAGTCGACGGGGGAGCCTGCCTGCCGCGTGTGGACCGCGTCTGAACCGCGGTAAGTTCGAACTAAGGTATGTCGACTTCAGCTACGTTATTCACGTAGCTGAAGTTGCGTACCTTAGATCGAATTGGGGTGTTAGTGTAGACCAGGCCTTAGAGGCAGCAGCAGCACACACAAAAATGCTAAACTGAAATCTACATTTTTATAACAATCTTAAAGAAATACCAATGGACTGGTGAGAGAGACTTTTTTTTAACAAGAACCCAAATGAAGTTTCAAGAGGAGAGGGATTTGCTGGAGATTAACATCATCTTTTTTTGGTCTGTTTCTCACTTCAATTTAAAAAAAGAATGAAAATGAGATTAAACTGGATCTCACATAGATACCTGGCAATGGTCTGAAGCCTCCATTTAGGTGTAAAAAAAAATAGTACCATGCTTTAGATGGGTCTTATTCAGTAAGGAGAGAGGTGTGAAATAATTCTGTTCTTGTCTTCTTTTGTTTTCAAATTCCTCTCTTCTTGCTAAAATATTTTTTTTTCTTTCCTTATAGTTATGCAGCCCTGATAGCTGACTGGCCTGTGGTGGTTCTAGGCATGTGTACTGTGTTAATAGTGGTGTGTGCGTTGGTTGGCATATTAGTTCCAGATCTTCCAGACTTCTCTGATCCTTTGCTGGTAAGTTAGCAACTGTTTCCTTTACTGTCAGATAATTTTCTCTGCTGTACTATTTCCCCCAACAATAATGGTAAACAGGTAATGTAAGTAGAGTTTAGAGAACTTGTTACATTGCTTTCCAATACAGATGTGCCCAAACCAAAACCCCAAATCTGAGCACACCTGAGCTTTTAGGACATTTGGGTATGAACTTTGCAGTCCAGACCCAGCTATATTTTCACAAGGGCTGAGGAGCTGCTGAATTTTTCAGATTTTGTTGGTAAAAATGACAGTTTTCTGTCAACATAAATCTATTTGGGTTGTTCTGAGTATATTTTAAGAGAGAAGTTCTTGTATTAGCAAGGCTAACGGATGTAGTGAGACTTATCTAATAAATCCTATGGAAGAGAGTAGTAGATCGTAGAGTTCCTGGTATTTCTTCTAATGCAAATGTCCTAGTAGATCAAGAAACCAAAAGAGTTAAGAGGGATACAAAGAGGTGGTTGCACATCAGTCTGTTTTGCACTAGATTTGAATTCCAGTATCCAGCAGACATCTATCCAAAGCTTATACATGTTCCACAAATGAATTTCTATGCATTTAATATTGTTGTGAATTTACTCCATGCATTAGAACATAGTCACAGAAGACAGGTTCTCTGTCCTGGAAATCATACATTCTAAATTAGGTTTCGGAGTGGGGTGCCAGGATCTATTAAAGGAAGAGGAAACCGAAGAACTTTTGAGTAATGGAGTCCTATCCATATTGAAGGTCTGAAAGGAATCTTTATCTGATTCTGATAAAGACTGTGGTCAGTTCTTATTTGTTCTGAATCAGCTCAATCATGTATTTAGAACTGTCATGGAAAGAGTTTTACTTGACTACTCTAAAGTACTACAAAGTTACTGTTAAATGATACTATAATACCATTCCACTGTACAGAAAAAATGGAATTCAGTAAACTAGTATTTCTAGAAACAGTTAGCAGTCCTTTAAATTGCGTTAGTCAAGAATTTTTTTTCCTTTTAAATGGTTCTAAGGCTTTGAGTTATTCTTCTGGGAATGGAGAAGAGACCAGAGACATACAGAGATAATTACTCAAGCTACAAAATATTCTGTAATTAAGATAAGTTAGCTCAAACCGTTTATCTGCTGAAAATATCAAGAGCTAGTTTACTGATTGGCTAGGCAGTATAGACAATCACTATTTCTGACTGAAGGTGTGTAACATAAATCAGAATTTATAACCAATTTATAACCTGTAAGACGTATGCAATTGGTCATTATTGTGTCAAAACATCCTGTTATAAAGCAATCCACCTCTAAACTAGATGTCTGGAGTAACTGAACTTTCTAATTATAGTTGTCCGTCACTTTGATGATCATGTTTTCCATTCTTCTTTTAAAGCAACAGAATGAAATGTACTAATAAAATTCTGTGATGTTCTGCCTTAGGGTTTCGAGCCAAGAGGGACTGCAATAGGCCAGAGATTGGTCACGTGGAATAATATGGTGAAAAACACAGGGTACAAAGCAACATTGGCAAATTATCCTTTTAAATATGCAGATGAACAGGCTAAAAGGTAAGAATTTTTACATCATGTTATTGACTCAGCTTGCTGAAATAGAGCCTGCTCCAACACCCTTGAAGTCAACGAGTACACTCCCATGGACTTGAAGGGACATTGGATCAGACAAACCCCCGTCCTCCCCCCAGATATTCCTTAGGCCTCGTGTATGGAACTAGACTGAAGAGAGGGTTTGATAAAACTTACCCTACGACATAGTGTAACAATTTAAAATGTCTTGTGTTTTTCACTTTGAACTACAAGAATTGTTCGGTGTTAAGATAAAGATAATATGCTTTAAGGTCCCTAGTAGGATAAAAGTGTCATGAATATTTGAGTTATTGAATGTTAAAGTCATATGAGCACTTATATCTATTTTCTCTGGCCAAAGTTAGTAAAATGTGTAAGTTGTTAGGAAACTCCTTTTAAGAATCTTATATTCTGTGTTCAAATAAGATAAAAATGTTTCCTCCATTTTAGTCATCAGGATGACAGATGGTCAGATGATCACTATGAGAGAGAGAAAAGGCAAGCAGATTGGAATTTCCACAAAGACAGCTTTTTCTGTGATATTCCAAGTGAGTGGAATGGTGTTAATAGTAAATCTGAATACTGTGGGAATATTGAATATTCACAGGAAATGTCTCACTATTAGAAAAAAGAGGTCTTGCTCCCTATATTTATGATATGCACCTTCTTCCTCTTTGCATAAGGCTCTGAGAAATTTAGACTAAATCACATTTTAAACTCAGTCAGCAGTTCCCACTGAGCACTACACCTCATCTTTTCTTATTGAGCATTTCTTGAAAAGGTTTTGGTTTTAGTTGTTGACAATCCTAAATGTTAGTACCTTAAAATACATTAGTACAGAAGTAGCACTTAATATACATTAAGACATTAGTAATGCATTATCTGTACTTCAGCTTAAATCTAAAAACAGAAATTCACTTTTCCTTATATATTCTTCTTGCAACACTATTTTTAAAGGACATCTGTGAGGTCAAATCTGGCCCAAAATTTAGGTTTTATAAAATCAAGCCTTTATAAAACCTAAGACCAATGGAAACATTTCCATGAAATTTAAAATATCCAGGAGGAAGGCTATTTAAAGCAAATAAACATTCCTCTTCATATTTAACCAACCACATATTTCATCTTTGTGATAGTAAGCACTTTCTATAGTTGTATGTAAAGTAAATAAGGTTTTTAAAATGTTTAAGAAGCTTCATTTAAAACTAAATTAAAATGCAGAGCCCCCCGGACCGGTGGCCAGGACCCAGGCAGTGTGAGTGCCACTGAGAATCAGCTCGCGTGCCGCCTTTGGCACACGTGCCATAGGTTGCCTACCCCTGGTGTACACAGTACTTACCCATGGGCCCCAGTCTTGATCTGGAGCCTCTGGGGCCTACTGCAGTATAAATGTTAATAACACTGCATGAGAACATGAATGTGAAATTGACTAGAAAGTGACTAATTTGTTTCTATTGTCTAAGCTGAGAGAGAGGCAAAGTAAATACCAAAGTAGATTTTATAAAATTCTCTTTTTTAATAATATAAGGTCTGTCTTCTAACAAAGGTAAGAAAATTTGGCCCAGATCATCCTTTCTCTTTCCATGAGTGGAGATAATTGAGATCTCTCCTGAGCAAGGGCAAATGTGGGAGGATCTATCTTGAAATCCACTTGCGAGTTAATACTGCTTGAAGCAGCACTAACTCCTATAGTCCCATCCATGATAGCATTTACACCATGCCAGGGGAGTCAGGCAATGGCAACAAGGTAGCTCTCTCATCTTGGACCCCTTTGCCTTCTTTGTTCCTTGACTTCTCTCCCTGTGTGCCTTCAGGATCACCAGGATTTGGGAGGCTGTGGCTCACTACTCCTAAAGCACTTAGGGTATGTCTTCACTACCCGCCGGATCGGTGGGCAGCGATCGAGCCAGCGGGGGTCAATTTATCGCGTGTAGTGTAGACGCGATAAATCGACCCCCCCGAGCGCTCTCCCGTCGACTCCTGTACTCCAGCTCGGTGAGAGACGCAGGCAGAGTCGACGGGGGAGCGGCAGCAGTCGACTCACCATGGTGAAGACACCACAGTAAGTCGATCTAAGTACATCAACTTCAGCTACGTTATTCATGTAGCTGAAGTTGCATAATTTAGATTGATTCCCCACCCCCACACACCCTGTGTAGACCAGGCCTTAGAAAAGCCTGTCCCATCTTCCGTGACAATTCTGTATGGTGCACCTCATGCTGTGGTTTTTTTTGCCTCCTCTACTCATTGGCAGCAGGGGAAGATCTGGCTATTTTCTTTTGTTAAAATAAGATTTTTAATCTGATGACTATTGAAATAATTTTTCATATTAGTGCATGTTTTAAAGTTCTACTACAAAACTATGCGGAACATAGGGCCTTCACCACTGCCTCCCATCTTGGATGATCTCTTGCTCTTAACTTCTTCCCATGTCATTTAGATAGCTTTCAGTTCTGCTTCTATTGTGCATTGCCATGTTATCCTTGGCCTACCTCATTGCCTCCTGCCGTGGGAGTTCCAGTCAAATATCAGCTTTGTTGTGGTATTTGAGTCTTTCCTCCATGTATGTTCTAGTCATCTCCATTTTCGTTCTATAATTTCCGGTCCTGTAGGTTTCTGTTGCATCCTCCTCCAGAGTTCATTTGTGATGTGGTGTTTTGGTTTTGGTTTTGTTTTTTTGCCATCTGATACTGAGGATTTTGTTTATGAAAAACTTGGAGGTTAGTTATTAAGACCTTACTAAGTCTACAAATTTCAGCGCCATATAATAAGACTGACTTTACAAAGATGTTAAATATTCAAATTTTAGTTTGGAAGGCAAGATTTTTGTTTCTTGAGATCTGCTTTAGAGTTACAAAGGCATGTCTGGCTTTCGCTGTTCTGGCTTTAGTATCTTCATCTGTTCTACCTGTTGTACTTACAGTGCTTCCAAGATACGTGAATTATTCAACCTCTTCTATGTCTGTCCCTAAATTACACAAAATCAGGCAATATGAAGCCCAAAGTACCATATTGTACTCCAAGGTACTTAAGGTTTGTGTGTGTGTAATATGCATTCCTGGTTAGCTAAGTATAAAGTTCTGGTAGCCACTAAGACATTACTCCCTGTTACTGAAAGCTGTTTCAAATAAAAGTAACTTAATATTTTTAACTGATAAATTAAGCTGCTTTTACGGTGGAATTTGTGTGCATTAGACCTATATAACTTCCAGAATACAGATTTATTTATTGTTTTAAAAAAGGCCCCAAGGACTTCCCAGAAACTTCAACTAAAGTCACCAGCCCCTAAAGCAAAGAAATCATTTTATAAATGTCCTTGTAATTATTAATGATATCCCCAAGTGTATTGTTTCACTAAGGCAGCCTCTGATTATATCATGTATCCACTACCAATATGCTGTGAATTAAGATAGGCCTATAATAGTTTGCTGCTGAGACCTTTCCTTCTTTCTTGTCAGATTTCAGAGGACAGACAATAAGCGTGGCTAGAAATTTATTAGGATTTCTGAACTGTATAAAACGGAAAAAGATAGGAGACTGAAGTTTAGAGAATTCTTTCAGCTTTACGATGTTGAGGGAGATTGAAGCTCTTATAGGACTCAAGTCTTTCAGATAAAGAGACCATCTCCTCTCTTGGAAAAAGGTAGTTTCCCACCTTCAGACAGATGTTCTGAAGACGTACAGTTAAAATAATTATCTACTTTTTGAATGATGGGAGTCTGTTTTAGTCTCTGATATCAGACATACCTGAGAAATTCATAAACCCTCTTACTATATTTCCAGGTGATCGATACTCACGAGTGGTGTTTACTTCCACAGAAGGAGAGAACTTGTGGAATTTGCATGCAATTAAATCAATGTGCAATGTAGATAATTTGAGGGTAAGTAAAGAAAATCTTTATTCTGCTTAATCCAGATGAAAATGTATATTTGAAACTCCTTGTCCGTTATATCTAACCATTAGATGAAAGCATTTCAAGTTGTTTTCTTGCTGCAGAGTAAGCAATCCACGGGCAGGCACTAGTTGAAAAACAGTTTTGCCAGATTACAGTTCAGAATTTCTGGTTTTGCACCTCAAGTGATCTTCACTCAAGATAAAGCCTATTTCCGTACTCCAACACTTTCTGTACTGAAGGGTACATTTTATTCTTTTGCAGTGTATTTCCTTTCATAATAATACACCAACCTTTTTGTTTCCCAAAGAAGGCAAGGATTTCATTTTTGCCTCTTACTTTTATTTCCCTTAAGACAGTCTGTCAGCATCTTTGTTCTGTTCTGTATACATCTCTTGCTGTCAGTGGGTCACTTAGCCCTATGAACTCAAAAGAGAATAGCTTGGCATCAGAGACATCAAAGGGACATAAATACAGTTTCTAGGCAAACAGCAAAAGTAATCCAGTCCAGATTGCATAGTTCTGAAATAAACATTTACTTCTACCTTAGAACATGAGAGAATGAAAGAAGACACTTTGTCCCTGTCAACCCGGACTAGTAGATATTTTTTCCATGGTCGGTGTCGATAGGGCCTTGCTCTCATCCCGTAAAGAGTCAAAATGATAAAGGCAACAGCTAGCCTTAGGGAATTTAATAGTTGGTCTTGCATGTGTTAGAAGTTAACTGTGCACATAGTTGAGATTGATGTCTGGTTTCAACTAATAATGGATGTTAACTGACAGTTACAAAGTCCATTCTGAACTAAAAGGCATAATGTATTTGAATAATACATCTGAAAAGTATAAGCTTCTCACTCGCTGAAAACACAATGCTTTAAATTGCAATGCAACTGTAATTTTTTTTAAACTCAGAGACCTGGTGTAGAAAACAACTTAGATAAAATGAAAAATATAAGGCCTTAGTAATGATCAATTGATTTCCTGGGTAGAGGCCCATTATCTTTCCCCCTCACCAAACAAAATTCCCATCACCAATTAACCTAACAAACAAAACATAGGCATTTAACCAGACATGTTTTTTTAGATTGTGATATTTGATCAAGAATTGATTTCAGTGTCGTCAGGCAGTCACCTTAACACAGCCAATTTCCTCCCCCTTTTTTTAGCTGATATTTGCTTGCCTAGGATTCTGAGTTTCCTAATATAAGCAGTGAAATATGTTACAGCCAGTGGTGCCAAGAAATGAATCTTGCTGAAATTTAGTTTAACAAAACAAGACGACAGTGGTTTCCTATAGTCAGTCCCAATTTTTGTAGGATTTCTGGAGTCATGGCAGTGACTTTGAAGTTAAGATATGAAGTTATATTTTATTTGTATGTGACACTTAAATATAAAGGACTAAGTCTAAATGCTATCTAAGAAGTGTTAGTCTGTGAATGTCCATGTAGACAGCTGTTTCAGATAAATGCCACTCATCATTGATCAGTCCAGGGCACAGCATATTTGGGTCATAAATAAAAAGGAAACGTATTTTTGGATAACTAAATGAAGACAGCTTGCTACATCTGAAGGGTAATTTTGTGGAGCTTGTATTTTTACTGAACAATTTACCCTTTTATCCTAAATATACCTTGAACTTTCAGAATTTACTATCTCAAATACAACTTATTTAAAAGTCCTGATTGCCAAAAAGTAGTGAACCCTTTGCAAGGGAGAATAAGAGGAAGCTACTTTGAAGAAAAAGCACCATATAGTAAGCCATGAAAACGTCTCTCCCTTAAAAAACAAACAAACTACCACTTAAGTACTAGGATCATGGAAGCTTTAGCAGTGTCTGTAGATATTTTATATAGGATATTTGTAGCAGATCAAACATTTTGGACAAGAGATCTTTTTCTTGTAACCTCGATTTGTAGTTAAGCACAATTTGGAGAGCACAATTGCATGTAGCAAGGTGGTGGTGTGGCTAGCTAGTTAGTTGGATTTATAACTTGATAAGAATGGATGTTGTAATTATTACCTGTCTATATGCACAGTACTTTTAATTAAAAATTAGTTAAACTAGATGCCAGTTGCTTAGACAATCTGGACGAAAACTTGTTTTCATAAAAAATATTGCTTCTAAATGTCTCGTGCTATTGCTTTAGCCATATAGAAATGTAATTCCTTTTCAAGCACCTCCTGGATCTCATGAGGTGCTTAGATGTGCCCTGCTTTCAACTATGTTCTTTTGCTGGTATTTGACCTCTTACGGCACAAGTCAGTGTCCGCTCTAACTAGTCTCAAGAAATTGGTGTGTTTTTTGACCTTTAGTCTTCGTTAGACTCTCTCTTCTGTTGGCTACAGTTCACTTCTTAAATTCATGCCTGATTAAGGGCCCCAGTTCTGCTTTCACTGAAATCCGTGGCAAAACTTTCATTAAATTCAATGGTAGCAAAACTAGGCAGTACATTTTCTGGAATTTTGCAAGTTAAGTTGAAGTGCACACTTAAGGTTTCATATATTTTACTCTTGATATGTAGGATTTCTGTGCCAAACTATTATTTGCAATAATATGAGCTATCTGTATAAATCTCCTGCACATCAATAGAAGAAGGAATTTCTAAAATCTTATTTCCAGCTGCTTAGCATTTAAACACAGAAACTATCTTGGGTATATTATAACAACTTTAACCATCTGGTTTACTAATTCTTAGGGCGCCGTCCTGCAACTGCTCAGCACATGGCATTCCCATAATCTTCAATGGAAATTCCACATGCAGACTGGCTACAGGATCAGGCCCCTAATTTTTAAATTCCTAGAATTTGAGAAGTCCTTTCCTTCCCACATCAATTACAGGAAGCTTCCCTTACTAGCCGTATGCTTCTATTTTTCATAAACTTCAAAGATTCCAAATATAGGAGCACAAGCCTACATCACCAGGCAGATCCATTTGCCAAGCTGACGTGCCCTTGTAGGTAGCATACATGCAGAATGCACACCTTCACTTCTTTAGATATCCCAGTAACAAATGGAGATGTTGCCAGTGACACAGCTGACCTGGCAAGTACCAACTAACCTTGGCAATATCTTTTGATCAGTCAACAAAGTAAGGCCTAAATCCTGCAATGCTAATGTTTTGTAAATAATGTTTTTACATAATGCTTTAAAAAGTTATTCCAGACTAAATTTTGTTTTTTCTTTCCAAGTTTCAGCTGCCCGCTTGTGTTACTTGATCTTTGGCAACAGTTACTTTACCAGCAAATGTTTATAGCTTGCAGCGAGTATTGAAGAATAACATATAAGCCTCATTGTCCCATCTTGAACTTGACTATGTAGAGAGGACAATGCAATCCTTTCCTCCCAGTTTGCTTGGCTGACCCAGAGCTTGCCTATTATATCCTCATAGGATAAATCTGGAGATGTGCCATGAAAAATACAGATATGCTATTCCAGTGCTTCCTTTTATTTATTAGGTTGTTCATTTTTTCCTGAGTTTGCATGTGAGAGTGTATTTATCTGGAAACAATCAAATGTGAATTATCCTGTTTTTATGGAATGTCAGGTCATTCTTGTTCAGGAATTGTTTGACAAAATTAAGTCCATATTACAACTTTTATAACCATCATGACAATCCCCAAATTGTGGGTTTTGTCTGTGCTACAAGTGATCACTGATGATAACCCAGTGTAATTTCAGTATAAATAAGAAGTAGTATGTCACTTATTTAGCTGATCTGAAATCTGCATGGATAAAGGTTTCAGAGCTCACTCCTGTAAACACTTAGGCACATGTGTAACTTCACTCACTGGGACCATTCAAGTGAGTGAAGTTATGCCCATGCTGGAGTGTTTGCAAGATTGGTTCCAATTCATTGTTCTTTCCAAGCCAGGAGTTTGGACTCGCAGTGTGTGCATGGAATCTGGGGGTCTTAAATTCTTCGAGCCCTTATTTAGCCTTTAGGCTTTGTCTACTTGAGAAAATTTTACTGATGTAACTATATTAGGTAAGAAACTGGTGTAGTTAAATCAGTACAACCCTCTTTTTGGATACTCTTACTTTGGTTGAAGAATGCTTCATATTGATTTAGCTTAAGTCAGTTCCTTACCCATTTAAGTTAAATCAGTATTAGGCACTTTTTATGCTGAAATAAGAGTTTCTACACTGATGGAGCTAATTTAACTGATTTTACTAAATCAGTTTCTCAATCTAAGTAGTTAAATGGGTATAATTTTCATATGTAGACAAGGCTTTAGAGTCATTCAGAGGAAAGTCAGCCAGATGCAAAAAGACAAAAATGTCTCATGTACAAAGTGGGCTGTAGAAGGGAGCTTAGATTACATAGCTCCTTGTCCTGGAGCTATCCCATCTGCTTGTGCTAGAGCTGCCAGGAGAAGTCCCTACAGCTTCTAGGATCATCTTTATGTGGTCTCAGGAGGGGTGAGGAACAAATCGCAACCAACCCTCTGGGCAACTGATTAGTTTAGAAAAATAAACATTGGGGAGCATTAGAGGGAAAGAGTGCACCTCAGTTGCTGCATCTTCAAGCAGAAGTAGAAGAAGGCTTCTAATCATGAGAGGAGTGAGGTTCTGGAACAGCCTTCCAATAGGAATAGTGGGGGCAACCTAATTGGTTTTAAGATGGAGCTTGATGAATTTATGAATGGGATTATATGACAGGGTTGCCTGTGATAGCAGGAGACTGGACTCAATAATCAGAAGGTTCCTTCCAGTCCCGTGTTCTTATGTACTAGACTGTAGTTGCTAATGTACAATATTCTTAAAATTTCTGAGCATATGGGCCTGATTGTCCTATCACTTACACTAGTTTTTACACGGTTAGGACTCTGTGAACTTCTGTGGCGGGTCTCCTGATTTACCTTGATGTATGTGAGAGAAGGATCAGGGCCTGTGTGTATGTGTGCTTAAGAATTACAAGTATTGGCACAGAATTCCATGAGTGTCACTTTCATCTCTCCTCGATGAACCTGTCTGTGAATTATTTGAAATTTAAAAATTAAATGCAAAGCGCCCCATTTAAATGGCTCTTGCCCTAATGTTATAACTCTGTGTCTGTCTCTACACAGATAAGATCTCATTCCCAATTTGGTGATCTCTGCCAGAGGACCACTGCTGCTTCATGCTGTCCCAGCTGGACGCTGGGCAACTATATTGCCATTCTAAACAACAGATCGTCATGTCAAAAAATTGTAGAACGAGATGTTTCTCACACCCTAAAGCTGCTTCGTACATGTGCCAAATACTACAACAACGGAACCCTGGGGCCAGATTGCTGGGATGTGGCAGCCAAAAGGAAGGACCAGCTCAAATGTACAAATGTGCCTCGTAAATGTACAAAGTACAATGCTGTTTACCAGATTCTGCACTATCTAGTGGACAAAGATTTTCTAAGCCCAAAGACTGCTGACTATGTCTTGCCAGCTTTAAAGTACAGCATGCTCTTCTCTCCAACAGAAAAAGGAGAAAGCATGATGAACATTTACCTGGATAATTTTGAGAACTGGAACTCTTCTGATGGTATAACAACCATCACAGGGATTGAGTTCGGAATAAAACATAGTTTGTTTCAAGATTACCTGTTAATGGATACTGTGTATCCTGCCATAGCCATTGTCATTGTTCTCTTAGTCATGTGTGTGTACACGAAGTCCATGTTTATCACGCTGATGACCATGTTTGCAATAATTAGTTCCTTGATTGTATCTTACTTTCTTTATCGGGTAGTATTTAATTTTGAGTTCTTCCCTTTTATGAACCTCACTGCATTAATTATTCTTGTTGGAATTGGCGCAGATGATGCTTTTGTCCTGTGTGATGTTTGGAACTACACAAAATTTGATAAATCTCACGCTGATACTTCTGAGACGGTCAGCATCACCTTGCAACATGCTGCTCTTTCCATGTTTGTAACCAGTTTTACCACCGCGGCTGCCTTCTATGCTAATTATGTCAGTAATATTACAGCAATCCGATGCTTTGGTGTTTACGCTGGCACTGCCATATTGGTGAATTATGTTTTAATGGTAACATGGTTACCAGCAGTAGTTGTGTTACATGAACGGTATCTTCTCAATATATTCACTTGCTTCAAAAAACCTCAGCAGAGGGTATATAGCAACAAAGGCTGCTGCACAGTATTGTGCCAAGTGTGCCACAAGATTATTTTTGCAGTCTCAGAAGCATCCAGGATATTTTTTGAAAAAGTCTTGCCATGCATCGTTATCAAGTTTCGATATATTTGGCTGTTCTGGTTCCTTGCTTTAACTGTAGGTGGAGCATATATTGTATGTGTTAATCCAAAAATGAAATTACCATCACTGGAGCTCTCTGAGTTTCAGGTGTTTAGGTCTTCTCACCCTTTTGAACGCTATGATGCAGAGTACAAAAAGCTTTTTATGTTTGAACGTGTCCACCATGGAGAGGAGCTCCACATGCCAATTACAGTAATCTGGGGCGTCTCTCCTGAAGATAATGGAGATCCTCTAAATCCTAAAAGTAAAGGAAAGCTGAAACTAGACAGCAGTTTTAATATTGCAAGCCCAGCTTCACAGGTCTGGATTTTACATTTTTGCCAGAAGTTAAGAAATCAAACTTTTTATTACCAAACTGAAGAACAAGACTTCGCAAGCTGTTTTATTGAGACATTTAAGCAGTGGATGGAAAATCAGGACTGTGATGAGCCAGCTCTTTATCCCTGCTGCAGCCATTGGAGATTTCCATACAAACAAGAAGTTTTTGAGTTGTGCATCAAGAGGGCCATCATGGAGTTAGAAAGAAGTACTGGGTACCATTTGTACAGCAAAACCCCAGGGCCTCGCTTTGACATAAACGATACCATCAGGGCTGTGGTACTGGAGTTCCAAAGCACCTATCTCTTCACACTGGCTTATGAGAAAATGCATCAGTTTTACAGAGAGGTGGATTCATGGATTTCAAATGAGCTTAGTTCTGCTCCTGAGGGTCTTGGCAATGGATGGTTTGTGAGTAATTTAGAGTTCTATGACCTGCAGGACAGTCTTTCTGATGGTACTCTGATTGCCATGGGTCTTTCAGTTGCTGTTGCATTTAGCGTAATGCTGCTTACAACTTGGAATATAATTATAAGCCTTTATGCAATAGTTTCTATAGCTGGAACTATATTTGTCACTGTTGGCTCTCTGGTTCTTCTTGGATGGGAGCTAAATGTGTTAGAGTCTGTCACTATTTCTGTAGCTGTTGGCTTATCTGTGGACTTTGCTGTTCACTACGGAGTTGCTTACCGCTTAGCTCCTGATCCAGACCGAGAAGGAAAAGTCATCTTCTCTCTAAGCCGCATGGGCTCTGCAATTGCAATGGCTGCGTTGACCACATTTGTGGCTGGAGCAATGATGATGCCTTCCACGGTCTTAGCATACACCCAACTTGGCACTTTCATGATGCTTATAATGTGCATTAGTTGGGCTTTTGCAACCTTCTTTTTCCAATGCATGTGCCGTTGCCTTGGACCTCAAGGCACTTGTGGCCAGATTCCTCTGCCAAAAAAATTGCAATGCAATGTCTTCTCCCAAGCTTTGTCAGGAAGCCAAGGAGACCGGGGACAAAACAAAGCACATCCTGTCAACACATTTCAGTTGGATTCCGGAGGGCAAAAACCAGAAATGGAGCAGGAGCATTATGAGTTAGAGCCTCTGGCATCACATACCAGTAATTGTAATTCATCAGAGAAAGTAAGTTATGAAGAAACCCACATCTGCTCAAAACTTTTCAACGGCAGACCCCCAAATGCATGCATGTCTGTGCATTCAGCATATGACAGTGAATTGAATAAAAGCATCAGAAATGAAGCTGGCTCAACCATGGTACAGCCATGTGTCGACCAGCATACCGTGTGCCCACTCTCCTCTCAGAACAGGCAGTGCAGCTGTCCAGATGCATATAGGCAGTTAAGTGACACTTTGTGCTACCAATGTGCCCCGTCATCTGGTAATGTTGTGCAGATCCAAAACTCTGTGCCTCCTGTAAATGTTTTACAGCAAGCTGTTGAAAGCTATGTTCCCCCAGTCCAACATGTGCTCCGTTGCAGTTGTCTTCAGGGGAGACTGAAAAGACCCATGATGCAGAACTCTCTGCCTAGAAATTTTTTTCTGCATTCAGTACAGCAGTTTCAAACACATGAAAGAATAAACAGGAGAGATACACCTAGTCTTCAGAATACAGAGGAGAGCATAAGAACTCTTCCAAAGGTAACAAGCTCCTCACCGTTTATCTGCAGAAGTGCTGGTTCTCTTATAAAACCTTGTTCTGAAGCTGAGAATAATGTATCAAGTAACCAAAAGGGACTCTGTAAAATCAGAGACAAGTGTGATTTAAGGGGTACAGAAGTATGTGGGAATGAAGACAAGAGAACTTCAGTATCAAAGCAGAAGAAGATAACTGAAATCAAGATAGATCCGAATCCATTGCAAACTGAACAACTTTTGAAGGCTGACCAAAATGATCAGAAACACATACTGAACAATACAGTGAGAGAGGCTGGGTATGAGTCTTGCCCTGAAAATACACAATATTGTAACAGAACTATAACAGTGAAGTGCAATTCTGTTGACGGTCAAATGCCAAACCTTGAAGCCAATGTGCCTGCTCTGTTAACGCATCCAGAACTTTCCAATGAAAGTTTGTTAATAAAAACGCTATAATAAATCTTACATTTGGCAATCCTATGTCTCTCTTAAAATTAATGTAATTAAAAACAACACTATGGATAAAACAAATTATAATTTATATTATAGCACCATTTTGAAATGGAAAATCTATTTTACTGAACAATGAACATTTGTTAAAATTAGTTAAAAAAACCCATTACTGTGTAATGAAACCTGATATTGTTGAGAATGACTCTCTGTAAGTAGTAAGAGGGCTTACACTTAATTTAGTTTTTGTCCCAGATATTTGAGTCTGAGTTCTCCTTTTCCCACCATGCTGAAAAATAAAGCATTCCAAAGAGACTGTCCCCTTTCTCAGAGCACGACTTAGGAGATTTGGTAAAATGTTGAGGGAAGGGGATGCTGCCATATTGTCCAAGTATACTCCCTACTCTATTCCTTTGCTCTCTTAGCAGGCTTACAGGAGCTATGAATGATTCAAATCTAATCAGGCCTTCTGCTGAAGACAATGCTGGCACCTGAAAGAGCTGGAATTGCCATGGTTGTTTTGAACCAAGATCTCCTGTAGCCCATGTTCTCAGTGTGTTCAGTTGGGAGTATGTTTAATTGTTAATGTGATATTCGAATGAAATAAGAAAAGCAGCCCCTTTGGAGGTCAACAGAGAGAAATGCACTGGATGCCATTACTAGATATATATATATATATATGTGCTGTATAGTAGCACCCATTTAAAACTGGCCATTAGTGACAGTTACTATATAGAGACCTCTTATAGGTAAACAATGGTAACCTTAATTCAGATGGTAATTGGAAAATGCCTACTTTTTAATGACAATAGCAGGGAAATCGTATATGTAATTTAATATTAAAATCAGGAGTGAAAGACCTTCCAATATAGTATAGTTTTTTTTCCACTGAGTACTGTACAAGTTGGAAGTGAAACCCCTGCAGATGAAGCACGGTGGAGAACTATGCTATAGTCTTGTTGATGATAGGCTGGAGGAGGTCAAGTCAAAAAGGCTTTAAACAATTAGGTTTTAATTTCACATTGAGGTTTGCTTATCCAAAGGAGTTCCAAACCCTGACATAATTACAAATATTGGTCCAAGCCATATAACCAAGAAATTGGATTACAAGCATTTTGTATTCACATAGCTGCAGAGTTTTCTCAGATGTCAGATATAGATTTGTCTTATATACAGCTGCAGGTGTCAGTGGTTTGCCAAAGCAGATTTCAGAAATGAAATTTTATAGAGTATCTTAACTCAATATTTGTTAGTGTTTAATCTTGCGCCCAGTAATTGAGCTGTTACAGCAAACATTATGCCGAATTTTTTAAAGATAATATAATTGCAAAAGACTCATTTAATAGAATGGGGTGTTGTCCAATATTAAGCACACTATGAATCAGTGAAAGAGGAGAGTAAATTTTTCCTGTTCTACTTTTCATGTCCAAGGGACATGACAAATCAGTGTCATGTGACAAACCACTTCTCTTTTAGTTGGGACCCCAGCATGCTCAGATACCACAAAGTTGGGCTCAGCATAAGAACCTGAAGATTAAAGAATAGACTAGAATAGCATAAGAGATTTGCGTAGAATAATTGACTTCCCTACATCTACAAATAAAATACAGATTTCTATGGCTTACAAATCTTCACTAAATTCAGGGCCAAATCATGCCCACCCCCTTATGCAGAAGCATAAAGGGGAGGGCCACCCAAAGAATCTCCCCACCAAATGGGGGCTGAACATTGGACACATTTTCTGTCTCAGTAAATAACTGTGGGAGGTTAGCAGTGCTAGCAACTCTCAAAGGGAATGGGGGAGGTAAGATAGCCCCAATGGCATCAACTAACAGAGCTGACCAGTCATGGAAGGGAGGCTACACTGCACTTTCTTAAAGGGCAGGGGCCCAGTAGCTGTGCTTTCTTACACTCGAAGGTTTCTCCATAATGCTTCCTAGAGCACCTGCGGTGGTGGAGTTGCTGTATAAGGCACGTTAGAGCTATGAGACAATAAGGTGTGAAATAAAAGGGGAAAGATGTTGATGCTAGTTTAGGCTGCCTTCACTCTAGTCTCCCAAAGTACAGCGTAATGCTTGTGCTGCTTTCGCCACACCTGTTGTCATCCATCTTCATGCCACTGAAATCCATGGACCGTTTGGAAGTCCCTGGTCCAGACAGCTGTAGTGCTGGGGCACTCTACGGAGATGTATTGGTACGTTTGGCAGCTAGTTACTAAATAACATTTTCATGAAGGCTCTTTGCATAAGGAAACGCTGTCCTACAGGTCATTAGTAAATGTTTTTATAATAGGGGAGGTAAGCGATGAAGGAGCAACCCAATATTTTAAAATAGTGATGTGTATGTTCTTAAGAAGGGCTGATATAGCAAAAGTATCTGGGTAGATAAGGAGTTGTGAAGTAATGTGTACTTACCAAAGATTAAAATTAGCTAAGGTACTTGTCTGATGAACAATAGCATTTACCATTTGTGACTTTGTACTCGGATTACATCCCTGCTGAAATCTTTATTCCTGCCAAGTCAAACTTAGCTGGACAAGTAGCAATCAGAAATATCTAAAGGAGAATGAGTTCATTGTTTGCATAGACGGCGTTTCTTTATAACAGATGTGTGCATGCGTGTTTCACTTATGTAAATGCATACGTATACAGTACAGCGCATATCCACACAAGGCAGACATTCCAGCTCCAACCCACCCCATGTAGTGGGAGGGAGAGAAGAAAAGAGGAGCTCTCAGTGACTGCTGGAGGCAGGTGAGGCCATGTGGGACTCTTCCCCCAGGGATCCTCCCCAAGGAAGAATCAAACAACAGTAATCCACCCCCCTCGGGGAAGCTGCCAGAGACTGCTAGGAGCAAATGAGAGAATGTGGGATCTTTCCCCACCCCACGATACTGCACCAGCCCCACACATACATAGGGTGTAGATAGCTAGAATTGCCAGTGACTGCATGGAGGTAAGTGAAGCACCTGCCCACAAGAGACTGCAGCAAACTTTGACCATGGGCAGAGTCTCTCTGGCTGTCTCGCCTACCCCATCTCCTAATGAGCCTGAATCTATATGTAACACACCAAATAAGTGTGCTGTGTTCCCCATGGCCAGCCTGCATATTGGATAAGATCCCTCTACTGCTAGCAGCTAACAGTTATTCCTTGAGCTCATGTGATCGAGTCCTATGTTTTGGTGTTTAGGTCCTGAGCTCTGTCCTTGCAGATGCCTCACGATGGGCGTTTGTTACACGTGGCAAGGGCTTGGTACGGTAGAAAGGGAGGGTACGTTGGGGCAGCCATAACAGAGCAGGTTGGTTGGACTACCAGTACAAGAGGGAAGGATAGTAGGAAAAGATGATCCAGAGGTGGGGAAGAAGGAAAAAACCCCAACAACAAACCAAGATCTAACATATAGATGACATTTTGCTTTCATGTGTTGTCTGTCATGTCTATTTAGATTGTGTGATCTTTGAGATAGAGACAGTGTCTTCCCATGTGCTTGTACTGGATGGTAAGTAACATTATTCTAATAAAAATAATGTATTTAACAAAAACAATATACTAGGAAGGTTATGCTAAACCCTTTAAAATATCTTGCCACACCCAATATGCAAGCATTCTACATTTAGCACAACTCCTTCATGGTTGGGAGGAGCAGCTAGTAGTCTCATAAAATACAAGAAAACAAGCCACATTTTTAAGTATGTAAGGCTTTTTTAGCTTGTATTCCTCCAAATTAAAACAAACTCCTTTAGTGATCATCTGACATCAGCTGTGACTGGTTCTGTATTTTGGCAAAATGGGAGTACTCCCTTGAAAGTGCCTTGGATTTGGAAGACCTCTGATTTTGCCAAATGGAAGCTGGGCAGTCAATCCAAGAGAAATCAGAACTTATAGGTTAACCTGTTACAAGATTTTAACTCTGTAAGAAATGTCCAAAGTGATGAAACGCGAATGCATTTTATTTTAATAGAAAATCTTACACGACTTCATGTAAGTAGCGGGTGGTTTCAAAAAATTGAGGGATGCTTCTGCTCAGTGCTTACTCAGATAACACTCCCATTGAGTTAATTGAAATTGACCTTAATATTTTTGCCACAAGCTGGCAAACGATATTAATTTTCATTTGTAGCAACGGCATGTAAAGAATTAGTAATAGTATTTGAATTACAGTAGCAAGAACGGGGCACCATTGTGCTAGGCACTGTATAGACAAGACACACATCGGGAGACCATGACTGCATTAAGGAGTTCACACTCTGAATAGGCAAAGTAAAGGAAGCGGACTTACTCAAGGTCATTCAGGAAGAACCAGCATTGAATCCAGCTCTCCTGAATTCCAATCTAGTGCCTTAATTACAAGACCATCCTTCCTCTTGGTGCTTTTTTATTTCATTACCCTTCACTTGCTGATTCCTAAGATACTGTATTTGTACATGATTTTTCCTTTTTATTTTTAAAATGTATTTTTATCTTTACATTTACAAGTTTAAGGCCTCATCTTCCTTTAAAAGTTTGCTAGTATTGCTATTGCCAACAACCTACTAGGGTAGATGCAGCTTATACCTGCAAAAAAGGGCTTTTGCTGGGATAGCTTATATACAGTTCAGTGAGCAAAATAAACTATACTATCAAAAGCACTTATATGCCACAATAATTGTATTTACATTAGGGGCTTTTTTTGCCCCCAAAATCAAACCCCTAACTGACATTGCTGTACTAGCAAAAGTTTCTAGTGCAGACATGGTGTAACGTTCAAATGCTCCTCAGCAGAGTAAGCTAAACAGACAGTTAACCATGATTTAATAATAAAAACAAAGAGTCCTGAAAACATGTGCTTCCATACAATATGGGCCTGACTCTGCTCCCACAGCATTCTTACAAATTCCATTGACTTCAGTGGAGTTAGCCCAGACTTACACTGTTGTAAATAAGATCAGAAGTAGGCCCTTTATCTTTTAAGACTCCGCTCTGGCAGTGGCAAGGAGTAAGCATAAACCTTGTTTGATAGTTTAATAAGGAAATA